TGATGTTGATTTGACAACCCCTGCTGCAAATTCCTCACCCTCTTCATCTACTTCGGTTAAATACCAGAAGAAATGGGAAGAGAAATATGAATGGCTGTTTTTTGATACATCTCTTAGAAGGGCGTTTTGTAAGTATTGCCGAGAACTTTTTAAAAATGATTTAGTGGTGTTTTCACAACAACTCTGTTTACCAATTTTCGAAAAGCAACCAGGAATACTGGGAAGCTCGACAAACATTTTAAACTGAGAAACATGCTCATGCATTGCATAAGCTTCGTGAAGAGGATCTTAAAAGATTGGTTCATACTTTATTTGTTTAACAGTCAACTCAGGAATGTAGTCACAACAGGGAAGCGATTGTGAGAAGTGTCTAGTTTTTAGCAAAAGAAGAAACCCCACAGACTACAATCTATGAACATTTGATTTTTCATCTTTTTATGCTACAAGATGACTTTCTGAAGCGATGGGTGAAACTAAGAACGACCTTTCAACATATGTAAGCAAAGCTAAGGTTGCGATCTGCTAACCTGCATTGCTAAAGTTCTAAATGAGTGTGGCGCTTTGGAATTGAATAACAAATATTACTCTATAATGGCTGACGAATTATCAGATATCTACAATGTGAACCAGTTGTCAATTTTGATTTGCTATATGACTGAGTGTGATGAAGTAAAAGAAATATTTTTGAGCATTACTGATATAGCAAGAACTGACTCCAAAACAATTATGAATTCACTTTACAGAGAGCTGGTGATAAGATACCTGGATTACAAGAAAATAATTTATTGTACCTTCAGGAAAAATAAGTGGTGTGCATAAGCAACGTTCAGAGAAAGCAGGAAGGGAAGTTCCTCTTATACATTGTAGGACCCATATTTTATTTTTAGCCAAAGTGCACTGGCTCAGTAATTAAAAATATATTCAGGTGGTCTTAACTTGTTATTGCTCAATTATAATGGCCTGTGAGCACTTGCATAAAGATGGTGCAGATTTAGCATCGTTAGCAGGAAGTATATTGCTGGAAATGAAAAATGTCTAGTTTTCTTGTTACCCTAGCAGTTTTGGATGGGGATTTATGTGCAGTATCTAATCTCAGCAAAGTTCTGCAAAAAGAAAATCTAAACCTGTCATCATTTCCTCAGCTTGGGGCGTTAACAATAGCACATTTGAGATATATAGGGACTCAGTGTGCCCATTGAAGTAAATAAAACTCTATTGCCATAGTTGTTGTATATCTCAAAATGAAGGCTTTCTGGTGTGCGGCCAATTCTTGAAAATGATCCAGAAAGTCGAACCTTCAAAAACATTAAATTTGTTGACACTATGATTGAACAAACAAAGCATCAATTCAATGATGAAGTGATCTTCCTCATCAATGCACGCGCTTCCTTCCAAACAGTCTAGTCACTATTCAGTTTGGCATATGATGATGCGAAGAGATGATGTAGCTTCTTTGATGGACTGGATGCTGATGTGGGCTGACTTGAGCTCCTTCAAGTACATTGCAAGAGAGCAAGAGATCAAGATAGAAATGTTGTGCATTACTTGTGGAAAGCAAACACCGGTTACGACAATCTTAGAAAATTTACCGAATGCCTGATGGTGGTGCCAGTTTTGACTGTTGGAGTTGAATGTTCTTTCAGCAGCACGAACCATATTTCGAATAAGCTGAGAAACTGGATGACACAAAGCATGCTTCAGAACTGCATGAAGATTAGTATCGAGGGGCCTAACGGAATTTGAGAGACACTGTTCTCAAGGATTATCGCCTTATATACACGAAAGAAAAAAAAGACACATTCGTAGCTACAGTGAATTGTTTGAACATAGTTCCGGCAATCGTTTTCAATTATCGGAGTCTTAAAAATTTCATGTGAACACCATAACCAATAATAATAAAATATATCATTGTAAATTTGTGGAATGAAGTATTTCAATTAAAGTACAGTATTTTCCAGTTTTTCGAACTTGAATTTTAGTTTATTCCCCCAGCTTCACATTCCCCCCTTCCATCGAAAAGGTCTGGATTCAACGATGATATCTCTACAACCAGTCACACACAGGCACTTCGTTCTATTCAGTAAGAAGTGCCAAGGGTTTAGCTTATACGTGTATATCATATACTATGCAGTCTTCTCGTGGCCATTCTATTACTCCTATAGCAGGTAATTTTCAAATAGGTTTAATATTAGTACAATTCTCAACTCTTTCCTTGTACAAAAATAAAAACCCACCAAAATGGTTAAATCTCAATCCCACAATCACTTTATGATTCTATGTCCGTGACATGATGAGGTTTGTTGTTAGATATGCACAACTGTTTCAGTTTAATTAATACGAGCATTATGATGTGGATAGATTATATAGCCCGGGTGTCATATTTAGTCATTTTTAGAAGTGAGAGTTTAAGGCAAGTTTATTTACCTAATTGTTTACGAATCATACGTTGTGTAGAGTAAACATTCAGTTGTTATGAGTTAGGGATTGTTATATTGTTGCGTCATGTTACTAGAACTTTCGGAATTTTTATCGTTGTTTAAATCGAGTGTTATTGCATCAATATATCTGGTATTGCATGGAATGTTCTAGACTTTGACAGAGTATAAATACGCGCCGAAAAATTGTTACTTAGATCTAGGCTGCGTGATTGTGAATTTAGCGATAAAGAGCATATAGTGGCGAATTTTATAGGATTCACACACTTTACTTACGGTGCCTACTGTTCGCTTGACTCAATTATCTCTATCTTCAATCTATCCGCCTTTGTATACTAAAAAAAAGGGCGTCTAGTAAATACTGAGATATTCGAGAGGTTCCCCGATAAGTCACGATCCTTCTAGAAACTCCAGCGCGCATGCTCCCAGCGTCGCGTGGCTTCCCTGTCGTAACAATATAGAGTTGAATAAATTAATGTATTTTCATGAAGTATTTGGATATGTGTTTGCTAGCACGCTTGCTTAGATACTTTGTACAAGTAAGTTGATTTTACATTATTTTCAGTATTGTTAGAGAGGTTTGAACGTTATTTATAGCGTAGGTCTATAACAAAGTTACGGCAGTATACAAATGTTCAAACTTGTAGAAATGTTAAAAGAGGAAATAAACTAATTTCTGATTGATATGTGGACTAGATACACGCACGCGCGCAGGAGGTTTGGCCGAACCCCTATTTTTGTGATGCAAAAAGATTATGCTTATATAATTATAGCGCTGCTCCTTATGACAGTTAACGTTTTCTACAAAATCTACATTCTTCTGATGAAGTATTAACATTTTTTGGCTTGAAACTGTCACATGTAATAGCTTCTGTTAACACTCTGTAATTGGAATCCGAAGCCGTGTTGCTACAGTAGGTGTCTGTGACTTGTTGACGATAAATTTCAACAATAAATAAATAGCAACATTGTCCAATTGTTTTACAATAATACATTAAAATAAGTCAAACGTATATACAAGTACTCGTTACATTGTTGGTTATCACAATTGTACCCAGAGCTTTAGATAATTGTTTCTTTTGTCGTCAAAGTCCTCTAGGCTAGTTTAATTACTTTAGAACACAACTGACAAGACAAATAATTCTTCTATGTTCTGCTATTACAGTACAGTTTGCGATAATTTCAGCTGTGAATTATAGCGTGTGTTTATAAAAGTAGTGAAGTTAAAGTGACTGTGGAAATTCTGTGTATTGCAAAGTTGTATTGAGAAAGAATAAACTAGTTTTAATTGAGAAAGTTTCTGAAGTTTCTCGGAAAGAATTTCTACGGGAAAATTAACAAACAAGCAGATACGCAACAATATCTTAAAATAACTCTCTCTCTCGTCACAACTTCCTCGTATATTTATAACCTAACTTTGAATGTATGAGAAAAACTTTGCGTCAACATAAAACATTCTAGGTGTTCTAGGCTTATCCCACCCTTTATTTAACATACAAATTACAACGGTAAAACATAGATTACAATCCTAATTTAAATTTTAAGCCAACATACAATAAGACTGGCGTTAGCTTCATTGGCATCCTAGACAGAATTAAGGCTGCACCTCTACTCAATTCCCTGTCACACCAAACGTGCTCGCCTTTTCAGCCGTGGGGGCGTTATAATGTGACGGTCAATCCCACTATTCGTTGGTAAAAGAGTTGGCGGTGGGTGGTGATGACTAGCTGCCTTCCCTCTAGTCTTACACTGCTAAATTAGGGATGGCTAGCGCAGATAGCTCTCGTGTAGCTTTGCGCGAAATTCATAAAAAACAAACAAACAAACCTCTACTCAAACTGAAGATCTAGAAAATTAGGTGCTCTAGACAGACACGTTTGTTTCTTATGCTATCCTTAACCTCAGACCTGAGGTATAAAACAAAATCTAAACTCAAACTATTCTATTTTAGAACTTTTTTGTTTTGTTATATTTGGTTAACAGTAAAATATGGCTAAAAGTCTTTATAATGTGGGCTTAAGCGTATTTCATGGTTAACGTGCCTAGACAATGCTCCCGAAATTATTTTCTTTGCGATAAAATACTCCAAAAACGCACCCCACACTTTGGGGCTGTGGCTGTGAGTGAGTTCAATTCTATTGTTCGATCAGACAAGAGCAGCCCAAGAGCTGGTTGTGTGCTTTTACTTGGATCTCTTCTCCCTGGTCTATCATTTTATAATTAAGGACAGCTATGGCCGATAACACTTGTATAGTTTGCGCGAAATTCGTCATAAAGAACAAACTATAATAGGGAGATAATAAAATAGTTATTTTCTAAGCCATAGCTTAAAAGTGCATTGTCTAATATCGTTCTTTTATATTTTCTAACTTATACAGACATTGCGATAAATTTGTAAGCTTTTGATATTGAAATAAATGTTACGGTAAAACAGCTTGTAGCTAAATGAAATAATACTGAAAAGTATTCGAAAAGCATGGTAATAATTGTGATTTATAAGCTCTCTGACAGACGAATGCTTTTAATGAGGTGGCACTACTAAAAATCTTATGGTGCAGGTAATGGTGGTTGCGATAACTGGTAAAATAGTATTTAATAGGCTTATGTTGGTATATTTCTGTGATAAATATATCCATTTGGGATATTTAGTGAAACATTTCATAGCTTCAGAAGTAGCTGAAGGAAAAACAGCAACCTAACTTGCATTAGTTTTGAGATATTAGAAAAATGCTAATTTTTAAATAAGTTACTCGTGACTATATAATGCCAATGGGAAAAATTCTCTTTGTGGATTTGGCGTGCTTGCCAAGCCTGACTAGTTGATTGTTGGACAGTATTGACGCGATCTCTTCAAAATCAAACATCTACCTAAGAAGTAGTAATTTTCTGATGTTGTTTCCTGCTAAACTGAGATGTACTCTAAACTTATCATATAGTTAATTACAAGTTGAATCTGTGACTGAAGGTGACTGCTGAATCCTCGTCTACGACTCCTGTCTTTAGACTTTAGTACTACAACTTACAAGTTGTACTTTCTGTAAAAGTTATAAATCCTCGTATTGCACGAACTATATAATTCTGTATTGTAAACTTTAGGTTAGCTTTTAAAATTAAATTTCAATCGTTTCATTGTATCTACTCAACATAATTTACAGCTTTGAAGACTGTTGAAAACATGTCAGTATGTGATATTTGTTCAGAGGTGTTGGATCTTTTGGACAAATGTAAGTAAACTTTGCTTTATTTGTAACATTAGTTTTGATCTATGTGTAGTTTTTGAGTGAAAACTTGTTTATTAAGTAAAATATTAGTATTTAAAGAATTATTTATTAATAAAAGATGTTTTATGAAGTTCCTTTTTATTTTCTTGAATATCACCCAATTTTAAAGAAACTTGTTTTAAGAAAAAAGAAAACTCAAGGTGACAGAAGGATATTTGTTGCATAGAGGTCATACATCACCCACAAAAACAAGTAGCAAAATGCTGAATTAGATGTAGCTTTTCACAATTATATTTCTATTGAAACTAACAGACATATAACATCATTGGACAAACCATCCAGGAAAACAATTCTTGAAGTGTATACACCAAGGATCCCAAATGCTAGACTTGTTACCTCTTAAATTCAAGTTTGTATTTAAAATTTTTCAAATAGATTATCCATAGGGAAACTGTCCAAACCTAAATGTATTTTAACACCTGATTCAAATCCATTTAACCCAATTGTGTCTTTTAAGACAAATTAATGTGTTCAAACCAATAACAATACAAATGAGTATAATAATTTTGACATACAATCTCTTTCCTTTCCAAAGTAAAATAATGAAAATATTTTGGTAAAAAAACTCAATTATTGAAAAATTGTTTATTTAATAATTGTTGAGCATTTGTTAAGCTACTATGTTCCTGTATTATTCAAGGTTCCATTTAGAACCTCTTAAAAGTAAAAACACCATTATGGACTCTCTTCCTACACTTTATGTTAACAAACCCTTCAAACCTGGAAAAAGAACTCACTCCACCTACAAATTTATTAAATTTGAAATATGTTTAAAGCCTTTAACAGAGAAACTCTTTGTGGCTACTTACAGCTATAAAAGTTCGAATAGGAAAAAACCAGTAAAATGAAATAATCTAGCTCTCTTCAAACTATATAAATGTGAATTAAATGAGGATTGAATTTCTAATCAGATTTAGCAAAATTATTACTTATCCAGCTGAAGTGTAAAAATATTGCTTTTTTATGGTGTTTTCAGGCTTTGAGTAGTAGTTTAACAGACAGTCTAATTATTCACAGTCTAATAAATGTTTATTTTCTTGATATTAATCGATTTAATCCTAATTTCGATTAACTCTTTTCTATATTCCAGGGTCAAAGTGCACATATTACAACCTTTTACAGATTTACATTCAACATTTTATTAAACAACTTTATTATCAGTGTATGTCAATAAACTTGATATCAAAATATACATTACAATTCAAATATTTTATATTTTCTAAGTTTTAGTTTCTTCATTTAAAAAATAATGCTTAAAAATTGCTAAGTCTTCACTTCTTTTTGTCATGTGGTGCATTTACACTCTGAATTTTCTGCATTTAGATTTTATACCCTCAGAAACGGTCTTAGGGAGTGTCCAACTAACTATAAACACAAACTATACAGAATTACAAGCAAAAATCTCAATTTGAAACTCTTCTGAATTTGCTGAGAAATTAATAAATTTGTCATACCCACTAAAGAACCCTCCAATCTTTCCATATCTTTCAATACAATTATATAATCATGTGTGCTTCATTGATAGGCATGTTTATAACCAATAGAAAGAGCTGATTCTCCTCTAAATAAAGCATATTTGTTTGTTTTTGGTGGACATATAGAGAGAGTTGGTTTTAGATTCTGTGTTATCATATTATTCTACTCTGAGAAGCTAACAGATTTTTTTAACATTTATAGCTTAGAAAGAAAGTCATATATATCATGGTAGTTTTCATACGTTCTATTTTAATGAGTGATATAGTTTTGTGATCTAAAATGCATACTTAAAAGCTACATTAATTATATTTTGGACAACTAACATAATGATAAAACAATTAGTGTTAATGGAGACTGAGCTCTAACTGGCTCAAAGAGTAAAAGGCCTCAGTGCTGAAGTGAAAAATGTTGTGTTTTTTTATGTATACTTTTTATATACATAAGTAAGTATACTTAAGTAATTAAAATGTAAAAATTATGAACTTTTCAGTTTATGTTAACAGAATTTCTCTAAAATGAAATATCTGAAATTACACTAGCTTAATTTTGTGATTGCTTGCATGCATGAGAGCTAACAGTAGATAATGAGCTGGGTCTGTTACATAAACTTTGTACCACAAATATGTAATAGGCTGTGGTTTATTATTTTTCAAAAATGGATGCGAAAAGGTTAACAATTGAAATGTGAATATAAGTAATTGAAAAATCTTGCAAAAATGATGAATTCAAGGAAAAAGTAAAATGTATTATTTATTTTACTTCATATTTTTCAATTTTTCATTTCACTTTATATTAATGATTGCTATAGTTAGTGTAAGGGTGGAGAAAAATAAGATATAAAATATAAAGCAATTCCAAAAAGAAATTTAGGATATAGAAATTATGCAAATGAAATATGAAACTGTAAGATAAAAATGTTTTTATTCTCAACAGGAAAAATGACCTTTCCCTAAAACTGACTTAGTAAAGGCTTTGGAAATTCACAGACAAATCTTTAATAGGAATACTTAAATACAAAATCTGATTTTTTGTGTACAACAGGCTTTTAAGGTTTCGTAAAAGCGTACCATGTTTCATTTAGTAAATTTAGAGTTAAAGCATATATATTTTCATGGTTAAAAGGTAATTCCAAGATGGGTTGCATCAACAAACTTTGTAAGGAAAGAGTAAATTCATTATTTTACATGACACTAATTGATGTAATTGATTCTTATAGGTAATTGAGCTAATCATGGAGCTCTATTCATTGAGATGTAGATGGAATGCAGTTTAAAACTTTAAATAATAGTAGCAAAGGAAAAATCTATAATGAATGTGATATTTCAGCATATAAATAAACCATGTAACAAACATCCTTAATAACTATTAAAAATTGAATATTATTATATAGATAATCTGTAGTGATTTCAGAGAGCATGGTAAACAGTCTCATATGAGGTCAGAGAAATTATCTAGTGGTAACTTTCAAGTAGTTTGATAGATAGTGAATTATATATATATATATATATATGTATATAAGAACATAAGAAAATGCAAAATGACAAAATGCTATTTGTTCAAAAATAAATTAAAGTAACAGTAATAAAAAAGAACAATTACTAGTTTTTAATGTTTTTTCCATTAAAAATTAAAAAATCAAACAGCACAAAACACATCATCAGGCAAATCATTCCACAATATGTTAATATCAAAATGTTTGGGACCTCTGCAGTAATTAATAGGATTATTTGCAATATTCATGGTATTCTTGTTTACATTTTTTATGTGAATGATATATTGTTAGGGTTCTTGTAACCAACAAAATTAGAAACCCACAAGAAATTTGATACATAAACAGTTTACAAAGGTGTTTAAAAGTCAGATCAGTGATTCTAGAGTAAGGAAAAAGCCTTCATCTGTGACAATGCCCTAAAACCATGGGTGGGAACCTATAATTAGACTTTGGTAGTATTTTATTTTACTTCATACAGAGCCAGTGCTTGCCACTTGCATGATATTTCTGGCAAGTTTAGGTTATTGAAATAGTAATTATATTTCCTTAAAGTTTTCACAAACTGAGTGTCATTATGCCTAATTCTGCATTTTTAAAGCAGATATTCTACTTAGAACATAGATCTGCATACTGCTTGTGTATACAAAAACATGACTAAGACCTTATAAAGCAGTTCTGCCATTTCAAAAACATAATGAACAATGTTTCTGATATTGCATTCAATAATTCAAACTGTGTTGCAAATTAGCAACAACACACTGTGTGTATGATCATCAGGTGCAAGAATAGATGCAAGCAACAACACTGTGTGTATGATCAACATGTACAAGAATAGATGCAAGCAACAATGTACAGTGTGTGTGTGTGTGTGTGTGTGTATATATATATATATGTATGCACTGTGCACTGAATTTAGATGATGGGAACAGAAAGATAGCTTAACAATTATGCTGTGTTGTGGGAAGCCAAAGTTTAAAATGTCTAGCATTAAGTCTACTTATAAAGTATACCAAAATATCTTTCTGCCTGATTTCAGTCTGTGGCATCTGTTTTTTTGCATATTATTGTCAGGCTAGCAGTGGTGGGTGAATCATGACTTATTTACTGGATCTATTTTTTTTTTACCTTAATCTTATATAATTACAAATAATACTCATCTAGTGAATGTAAATTTTTTCTTAAATGTTATAAATTTCCTGGATGTTTTCAGTTTATTTAGACTAAATCCTGATGCATGACACTAGGTAATTCAAATTAAAATTTTTCTGCATAGATGAGGAACAAACAGAAAAGGACTATCGAGCTTTGGAAAAGCATGAAGTGGGACTTTTGTGCACATATGTTCAAGCCTGGAGCCAAAGGTTTGTTTAAGTAATTTCACTCATCATTCATAATATTCAATCTCAATATTAGTTTTTTTCTCATTTATTAGTTAATTTGCATATGATCATCCTTTAACATGTTAAAGGACTGCTTTACTAATATTTAGTTTCCTAATAATCTCAGTTGTAAAGTTTTGTCTCCAATAATGTATTTTTTTTAATTACAAATTTGTATCAGCAACTTTTATTGGTGACTATATCAAGTAGATTTTTTAAAATGAAAATTCAGTATCTGTAACTATGTATTTATGTTTTCTTTGGTAAATAATGTTTGAAGTAAAATGTGATAACTTGTAGTGATTTACTTTTGAACTGTATTATTCTAATTTTGTTGTTTTTAAGTGATATTTATTGTGCTGAACTTCTCTCTCAACAGACAGTGCACCTGCTGCTTTAAAGATCCAAAGAGTTTTGATAAGTTTGGTGCAGTTCTTCATGGTCTCATCAGAACTGTTTTGAATATTCTTCACAAGCTACCAGAAGAACTGAAAACCATTACAGAAGTTTCAGAATCTAAATGTAATAAAAAAGATCAAGATGATGATGAAAAAAGTAAGAAGGAAAAAGCTGGTGAGGATGAGGACAGTTGTCTATCTGGTGATAAAGTAGACAAAGATGAAGCTAAAAAAACTGAAACCACCCAAAAGATGACAAACCAATTAACATTGTGGATAGTCCAGATGATTCCTCTGATCCGGGACAGGATAGTGAAGATAAAGAAAAAAAAGATAGTAATGAAAGTAAAGAAACTGATGTGTGGTGGTCATTGGAAGAAAAAGAGAAACTTTTTCATTTTGTCAGTAAAGTCTTTCTTTTAAACTTTCCTTTGTATGTAGCCTTCAAGCACAGCATTCATTCCAAAATAGAGGTAAGTTAGTGGTTTATTTTTATTTCTTTACCAGTTAGTTAATTACTAAGTCTAATATATATAAACATTTGTATCCAAGAAAAGTTCAAATGATCTCCATCTGTTCTGTAAATAAGCTGACAGAAATATTGTTTGATCTGTTTTGTACATGCAAGGAATTTTGTTAACTAAAAGTATCTTAAAATAATTAGGATTTGTTTTTCTCAACTTAAGAAATGCTAATTTTAATGTATAATTTGCTCTGAAAAAATCATCATAAGAACAACAGAAAAAGAAAAAAAAGCTATGATAATTGTTCAAAGTGACACAAATATAACAAAAAGGACTTTACTACACGAAACTTAAAAATCACTGAATTTTAACGCGTGTGAGATTTTATATATATAGCATGTGAAGGATGTTTTTAATCATTTTTATGGATTTTTACATAGTTTGGTGAAAAGATTGACTGTCAAACATGATGTTTTGATTAGGTGTATAAGAATATATTATAATGTAGTTTTACTTTATGAAAATCTCATTATCCTCTCTTGCCCCACCCCTGCCCTCCCTGCTTTAGTAGATTTTACTGTGAACAAAGCAGCATATTTTAGAAAATAATTAATTCCTAGTTTATGTGAATGGTTATAAGTTTTTATATATTTATTTATGTTATTTATAATCAAAATTATTGGGACAGCACACTATGAACTTGTAATAGACCCATTCCCCTCTGAATTGTATGCAAATCCCATGGTACAATTAAAAGAGAATGCAGCATGGGTGGCATGAATCTCTAAGATATTTCAACCTGTCTAGTACTACCAAATCCACTGAATTTGCTAATGTGGCCACTCAAACTTCATCATTTCTTGGTGTGAGTAAACTACAAAATATATATTGTAAATGAGTTCACATATCAACCATTATTTTCATTCACTCTGAATTTTTACGAGTGCTCGGCTGTAGGCTATTACCCTCACTGAGTGCAGAGATCTCTATGTGGGATCAGCTCCTAAGCTGATCATTACAACCATGAATGTGATACATTGGCCTTGTTTTGTTTCGAGCATTGAAATTGAGTTGAAGAACAATGGAAAACTATATTGTGGTGCAGGAAATCTATTGTTTGCCTTGTATGAACAGGCTTGGGTTTGAGGTAGAAGTCAACCAACATTGATAAAAGAAAATCTAATAGCTGATTATGATGCTTTTGATATTAGTAACACTGATATTAGCAAATAATGTCTTCTTACAAGAAATTCCATTATGATTCATTATAAGTTGTGAAATAAAAAGGATATGTATATATTGGTATCTATGCAGATTTAAATAACATATCCCTTATTGTAAATATTTTACTTTAAACTTAAAACAACTGGGAAATTGTATATTCCATGTTAATTATAAATATTTAAAAAGTCTTAAAAACTCAAAATTATTAAAAAACAACGATTATTTTATACACAATTCTATAAAAATAAGATTGTTTCTGGTCTCTAAATTACTAAAATACAATAACTTACTGAACAGTGGTAAAAATCCCGATGAAACTGGAAAGCAATCTTATACACTCTACATATTTCGACATACACTATTGCATCATCCTCAGGAGTGTAATGTTTAGCAAAAACTAGCACTTATTTGGACAATTATCAAAACACCAATTTACATATTAAAGAATTTCATGCCATCTGCTGACAACATTTCCATCAGGTCCATCATCCTTATTCAGTAATTTAAATTTACTTTTTTTACATTTAATTATCTCAATAGATTCACGTATATTCATACAAATTAAATTTCCAGGTTGTGCTAAAATAACAATTTTTCCCATTGAATTGTGTGATTAGTTTCACCGGCATGTTCTGCTGAAGGTGAAAAAGTAATATTATTATTGTTAACATATCTTTTATGTTCATTCAGTCTGAATTTTAAATTTCTTCTAGGTTGTCTTGTATAAACTTTTCTACAATCACATAATATTCTGTATATGCTAAATTTTTCCATCAAATCAATTTTATCTTTAGTTGTATTAAGAATTTTGCTGACTTTCTTTATCGGTTTGTATATCAGAAAAATATCTATTTGTTTTTTAAATTTTTTCATTATTTGACAAGATAAACCAGGTATATATGATAGTACTAAACATTCTTTCTTATATTTTTCACAAATGGTTTTAACTTATCATCCCTGTTTTTTAGTTTTATGACAGCTGTGTCAACAACATCTGGATTAAAACCTCTTTCCACTGCTATGTGCTTAATTAACAATAACTCATTATTGACATCATCATCATGTTTACAACATGATTTTAATATCCTATCCACATAATAGTAAAAAACACAGGATTTTGAGATTTAGTGTGACAAGATTGTTGATGTAGCAGAATGATTACAGAGAAAGGTTTACGATAAATGGTTGTTTCCAATTTATCCTTATTTTCACTCACTAAAACATCCAAAAAAGGTAAACAACCATTTATTTCAACTTCATAATTAAATCTTATAGAATTATCAATGTTATTAAAGTAATTAGCAAAATTAGCTAGTTCATCTTTACCTTGCCACCAAATCATAAATGTATCATCAACATACCTTAAACAAACTTCAGGTTTTTTATCTGCTTTTTCTGGTGCTTAACTTTCAAAACTGTCCATAAATAAATCACACAATAACGAAGATAACGGAGAACCCATAGTTAAACCCTCGTTCTGTTTACAAACATTGCTATTAATTTGGAAAAATGAGTTTTCAACACATGCTTCTACCTGGTTAATTATATCCATTATTTCTAAGACTGAATTATTATTTTCTTTCAGTTTTTTCTCAAAGCATTCAATAGCTTTTTTCACAGGTACTTTGGTGAACATTGACACAACATCAAATGACACCAAAATATCTTTTTGATCTAAAATTATATGTTCAATTCTTTCCATAAATTCTTAATTGTGCATTTATATTTATCCCTTAAAAATGAGAATTTTTTTTTGATATAAATTTTGCTACGTTATAAGTTGAACTCTTAATATTGGATACAATAGATCTGAAATTATTACCAATCTTATGAACTTTAGGCAAGGCATATAATCTAGGTAAAATAAAGTTACTGGGAATTAAACTTTGCTTTTCATAAGATGTTAGAGTTATACAACTCTTAATTTTTCTTTAACTATTGTATGAAGTTTATGTATAGGATTAAGTTTAATGTTCTCATACGGACCTTCTTTAAAAATTTCTTCAACTTTAGAATCGTAATCATTTTTATTAGGAATAACAGTTTGTACCCCTTTATCAGCCTTGCAAATAACATCTTGTTCCTTTAAATTTTTCAAAATTTCAAAGTCCTTTTTATTATTATTTTTGAACTTAAAATTATTTAATAGAGTGCAACACTCATTTCTAATAATATGTGCTTTTTCATCATTTAATTTTTTTAAGTTACTCTCATTTTCAGTTATGATATCTTTTTTAAAACCTTTATTTGGACCAAATGAAAAATTTAAACCTCTTTTTAAAACATCAATCTGTTTATCATTTAGTAATAAATCAGATTTATTTATAACTTTAGGGTTATTTAAAAACTATTGTACTTATCTGGCAATGAATCTAGTTTATAATGTTCTTCATTCACTTCTTTTTTCTGAATTAATAAACTTTTTAACTTTTGTCCAATGTAGTTTTACGTATAGCAATATTTTTTGTGTATTTATCCATGACTTCCTTTCCCATTCCGTCCAGTTTTCATTCATTTCCTTAGATAGAGCTAAATGCAATAAATACACTCTTTTTTTTCTTTCTCATCTATGAAACATCCTTTTTGTTGACTTACAATATTCAGTATCTTCACTTTAGTCTTCTCAAGTTGATACTCCACTTTCTTGTTTTTAATATTGCAATCCAGTTTTATGAATTTGGGTGATATCTTATTTTGTTTACACCTCATTAAAAATGTTAGTTATTGAAGGCATTTTTTTAACTTCAGTCATTGTGTTGCAAAACATTTTGCCATATATCCCATTACTAGATTCATTTGTAAAAAATATTTTTTGGCATGTATGCAATGTTCAGTCTTAAAGACTCAAAATTTTTTTAAAAAATTATTATATTATACAAAATTCTATAAAAAATGAGATTGTTTCTAGTCTCCAAATTACTAAAATACAATAACTTACTGTACAGGATAAAAAGCGGTAAAAAAGGGATAAAAATATTAAGTTAAAACCATTTGTGAAAAATGTGAGAAAGAATGTTTAGTACTATCATATATACCTGGTTTATCTTGTCAAATAATGAAAAAATTTAAAAAACAAATAGATATTTTTCTGATATACAAACCGATAAAGAAAGTCAGCAACATTCTTAATACAACTAAAGATAAAATTGATTTAATGGAAAAATTTGGTATATATAGAATATTATGTGAATGTAAAAAAGTTTATATAAGACAAACTAGAAGAAATTTAAAATTCAAACTGAATGAACATAAAAGAAATGTTAAAAATAATAATATTAGTTTTTCACCTTTAGCAGAACATGTTGGTGAAACTAATCACACAATTCAATGGGAAAAATTGTTATTTTAACACAACCTGGAAATTTAATTGGTATGAATATATGTGAATAGATTGAGATAATTAAATGTAAAAAAAAGTAAATTTAAATTATTGAATAGGGATGATGGACCTGATGGAAATGTTGTCAGCAGATGGCGTGAAATTGAATATGTGTAGCAGCATAATAAAGTAGTATTTATCATTTTAATTCCTACTTCAGTGCAATTTTGACCTTTATTTTTTTAAAATATAATACTCTGGATTTTGGCTAAAATAGTTTCAATTTCAAAACAAATATTCAGTTTAATAGGTTTTTTAATGTTTATTTGATGCATTTTTGTTTTTGAAAAAAGGAATCACATATGGGTTTTAAACAAATTCTTCACAACATCACTTTTTTAGCCATGGCACTGCAGCTCATAGAATGGATCCAAGTTAGTTTTTTTTTTCAAGTACAAACTTTTAGCTCGTAGTTCCATCATCTTGTGACTGATTTGAGATCTAATTATAGTTCTGGACTCAGGAGGTCAAACCTTTTCGATTTATGTATTTGACTATGTCCAAGGCCTTATAGACTGATTTACTTTAATCCTGCCTAAAAGAATTTAAATTTGAGGGTAGACTGGTAGAGATCCTGATGAGTAATAAAATTGAATTGGGTATACATGCACCCCACATTTGGTATTGCTGGTGCACAAAAATATAACTAATAAAAAGGAAAAAAAGATCTCGTAGAATAATTTACTATAATCCTGCCTAAAAGAATTTCAAGTGTCGTGGTTATTGAGGATTCCTTATTGTTTGCATATTATCACAACATTTTCTTACTTCTTTGTTACCTTGTTGCATCATATTGTGACTAAAATCTAATGCTTATACTATGGAAAATAAGAGACATTTCAGTTAAGGAAAACGAGGAAATGGTTGTAATCACTAATTTCTTGGCTGTAAATAAAATTGGTTAACAGACTTAAAGCTACACAAAAACCTGTACAACTCAAGTGTCAGCACATATTTTACTCTTGTGTACGGTAAAACAGACTGAAATGTGAGAAAAACAATAAGTTTAGCAGCGAATGATGACATTATCTTACAAATGACTAATCAAGTTATTTTTTAGTTCTTTGAGTGATAAATCGAACTAGAACACTGACAAATATTGCTGTAAATATCTGTGCGTTTCCTTTTTTGGTTATGGTTACAGTATACATTTTGTGTGATTTTTACAGGAAATCACTCAGGAACAAGTTGCTGCTTTAAGCTGTTATTGTGATGTTGGGGTAAGCAAAATGTAAACCTTTTGAACTATGTTTCATTGAAAAATGTTGTTTAGCTCAGATAAAGCTCAAAAATGTAATAAAAGATTTTAGAAAATTACCTAGTCTAGGATCATTTCCCAAAGCTAGTTTAAAAAATATAACTTAAAAATCTGATTATTATAAATGAACTTTGGTACCAGTAAAAATATATTTAAATTTTGTGGTTTTTATTTAAATCTTAATATAAAAATATAAAGGTATTTAAAAGTTTCAAAATAACATTTCTCCAAAAATCTTCAGTTTCTTTAGGTTACTAGTAAAGCACAACATTAGTGACACCTCTGTTTATCTGCAATATCTTACGAGTAAGAATTTTCCCAATCTCGGATATTTTGTCAAGAAATATGTCTAAACTATATATCTACCACATTGCTTGTGAGTTTGTGGCTTTGTTGGTTTCAAGGTCCCTAATAATATAATATGTGAGACAAAAAAATGTAAACAAAAATACTGTCAACATTGCAGTTAATGTCACTAATTACTGTTTCAATTTATTTTGTATTTGATAACACCCCTGTTGGATATGCCTTAAACTGTTTGTAAAAACATTTGTGTCATTTAAATATCATATACTAGCAATCTGGTCTTAATAGTTATCATTATTATAAATACTGGGTAAAGTTGTATAATTCATATTGAAACTTTAGTTTTAAAATAATAAAATAATCATGTACTCTGTGTTCTAAACAAAACTTGTGCAACAGACAAAAAGGATTCTTACTTTCAACCTGTGTATGGAGCCTAAACTAGCTGGGCAAACTTGTCACAAACCATACATACAAAAAATGCATTAAAAGTGAAAGTAGAATTTAAATAAAAAACGTTTTTGGTTTAAATATAGTTATATTTTAACTTAAAATACTAAAGCAAGTTTTATTGAAGTGCTCACAAAATATAATAAGTCTGCATAATCTCTTTTATACTTGTAACTTTCTTCCTGTCCACTATGTAAAAAGTATCACTATCATATTACATATAAACTTTAAGATATACTCAAGATTTTCATATTTAAAGTATTTGAAACAGAGAAAGAAATTTTTGTTCTAGTTTTGTAACAAATATAACATCAATTTTAAAACTGAAAGATTTAAGAGTTTTGCACCATGTTATATTAACATTGTGGTATTCAGGTTCACTGATATTTAAGAGGCAAGCATTAACTCCACAATAAACAGCAGATTTTTTGAATGCCGATTGTGAAGGAAGAGACTCAATCACATACATGAAACAAAGAGTAACAGTATATTTATTTGTTCACAGAACATGCATAGTTTTTATGCTATTACAGGCTGGCTTCTAGATGACTATATTAACTTCTGTGGCTGATAAGCTGGGAGAGCAGGAGAACAATTGCCCTATGCAAAGGGGAAAAAAACGTCTAAACTATACTGTTAATTCAGACAAAACCATAAAGTGATATCTAACATTCCTAAACTACCCACATCAGCAGTTATTCTAATTTGACATAATTTATATATCTTTTGGTAAAAACAGAGGTAATTAAAAACATTTGGACAGTGTTCACCTGTATAAGTATAGTCACTTCTAAACACATCAAAGTCACATTACAAAATCATACCTGTGCACTACTTTTAAATTAATACAAGTGTTCCTTGATGTTCATTAAAACATTTTGGTCATTCATTTCCCAGTCATGAGTGTATTATGTTGCACTGGACTTTATACATAATAATAATAATACATGTAGGCTTTACACACTGATTTATTCACAATTTCTTATGATTTAATACACCTTTAAATTTTAATGATATTGAAATTTGATGTATTTTACTATGTGCATCAGGAGTAGCCTGTTATTGTTGAAGATGGAAAATTATTACATTTTATAGTTCTAAAACTTAGGAAAGAATGTATCTTTATTCATGACAGCCATTCAAAAATGTTGTGCATATGTTCTGCAGTTAACTGACACTGTGACTTTCTTACAACCAGAATGTTAACAGTGCTAAACATGCAGCAATCCTCATCTCAGGCAAGAGTTACATACAACAGTGATCATTTCATAGTGAGTACTTGCTTGGCTATGTGTATGTATCATTAATCCTCTGGGATGTTGGTTGTACTTAAAAGACAGTAATAATACAGAAGTTTGCACATATTAGCACAAACTGGGAGTTAATCTCGCAAAATTAACCAAAAAAAAGAATAAGTCAAATAAACTTTACAGTGATTATCAGTAAAAAAAGAAGAAAAGGACAGAAAGAGAGATATAAAAAAAACATTTGAAATGTTAACTTTTCTGGTAGAGATAGAGTATGAGGCAGAGTATTAGAATAATTTTACATTTTAGAATTAAGATAAGTTTGAAATAATTACTGTAGGTCTTTCCTTGTTCAATTTGCATTCATACTGCCAACAGATGTGACTTCAAGTTTTACACCTTGCAGAGAATGAACTCACTTACCCATAATTCTCTCTTCTTCCACCTTCCATGTGACTTGCATAAGCTCTACTGTTCTGCCATAATTCAGATTTTTTTTTATAGTTGCAGTCATGATTAAAACCATATATAGCCTGATTGTGGGGAGGTGAGTGGGAAAGTATTTCAGAGGTAAGTACCTGTTTGAAATTAATTTTAATTCTTAAATGTAAAATCCAAATCGGGTTATCTCTGAAATATTGTAGGCCAAAATACCAACATTGAAAAAAGGAGGTTGGAACCAGTGAGAGTGGTAATGATACAGCAGAAATTATAAATCTATATGCTATAGGCAGGAAGATAATCTAGACATCAATAAAGAGGTAGCTAACAGAGTCAGAGTCCAAAACCAGAAAGATTTGAGGGAGAATGAATGGAGTGGACCTGTCTTATATAAAGACTGAATCAAAGAAAACTCACAAAAAAAGGCCATCTCAGCAGATTACCTCTTTGTCCTTTAGCTCTTCAGTTAGTACAAAAAAAGGGGGTCAGTTAACCCTACTAATACAGGCTAGGTGGGATACACCCAGCTCGTAACCACAAAAGTATCCATGAGAGTAATTATACTGTGATTTTTTTTATAATGTATACTTACCCTTACAAAATTTTGCATATTATTTGTAACCATTACAAGGCTTTTGTATGCAAAATATCTGACTTTTTTTATTAAGTTTTAAGAGTTCTCAAGTAATGTTTTTATCGCACATTTTTTCTTTTCGATTC